ATGGAAATGGAATTAAAGAGAAGAGATTGAAAAGATCCAGCTTGTTTTTCAGTCCTTCTTAGTTATTTTCACAGCCATTTGCTCTTGACACTGACTGAAAGTAGTTTACAACTTATTATAGGATCACAATTGGCCCTGTTTAAGGATTGGATGCTTTGTCGGCAGATGTCAGGACTTTAGTCTATGAGGTAAGAGTTTCATCTCTGGTCACGTTTTCTACCCGAAGGGAGATCGATTAAATTGTAATCTTTCGTCTTTTCCTTGTTTGGCTCTCACCTTAAGTATTATTGATAATTTGACTTTTATTTCGTAGAAGAATGTCAAAACCACGGCGATCATGTATCTACATAGCGTTTTCCATAATTGATTAAGGTGGTACAGAAGGCTAATGTGCTAATGTGCTAATGTGGCCTTTTTTGCTCCATTTCGTACCATATGGAAGCGGTCAAACAATTTTACCAAAATGACTTTAATTTTTAGGGGTTGTACAAAATTCAGTTCATCCTGGACTTCGAAAACAATATAATGTGTTGACGGTTTGGAATTCTTAGAATCTTTGGAATTTCAGGAGTGCTGTGGCGGCCAACTTGAGAGGAGTCTGTTACCTTCGCTAGGGAATTTAGCTTTTCATGATGGAAATGTGGACTGAAGATCTCGCTTATATACTGCTGAACATTTTTACCTGAGTGCGTTGCATGATCGATGAAACAATTTTTGGATGAAAAATATAAACTTGTACTGTCCTTGTGTAAACCTCTTCGTCTAATCATACATATGTCCATACTTACAGGTGAAAATTGGTGCACTCCGGTGAGAAGTTTTGTTGTTGCCAGTAGTTCGAAGAACCAAAACAAAGAAAAAATTACAACAGATCAAACAACTTAATAAGTTTTCGCTTAGACTTAACATATTTCGTGGTCAAGTTTTTTTTGATAGCTCTGATTTGAGAATGCGTCCATATTAATGAACGAAATTGGGCGATAAAAGATTTCGAAAAGTGAGTGACAGTTTTTTCGGAAAAAATCAAATCGCGTAATTTGGTTCCTTTAGACATCAAAATGATTGATCATCTTCGTGCTTTATAGGGTTTGATTTAGAATTTAATGCAGAGGCGAGTAAAATAAATAGTGACTGTAACGCGTCAAACTGAGTCACCATGATTTAAACTGGTTTGAAATGTTAATTAATCTTGAAGCTCTCGCAATTCTTTTTTAGATATGATTCCTTCCATTGCACCCTCCAACATTGTTTCAGGTATTCCGCCTTTTTCACCATCACCAATCCAAATTGGTCGCAAGTTTAATTTGGTTCGTGTCGATTCGGTGGTTAGACGTTGTCCGCCTGTATTGTTTGATGCGCTCGTTTATTTTAGTACAGCCTCGCCCCTTTAGGATCATCTCATATTTATAAGAATAGTTCTGTTCTTAAAATGAGTCCGAAAAAGTCTTCCAGCTTTGGATTTTCTTTGCCCAGCTTTCTTGCTGTTTATTGTTTCATGAGCCATTGAGCATTGTGGTTTCTTTCTTAGTTGGGTCAAATAAATTGCTCGCCCCGACAACGGTTTTGCCTCGACAGGTTTTTTGCTAAAAAAAGAACTGAAATTCCGCGCAGTGCAAGCGCATATTGAGTGATAATAATTCCCTTATTGACCAATCACAAACAACATATCCAACTGAATCGAAAGTTACATTTTATGAAGCGTAGATTCCTCGCCAGTTGCGTGCTGAGAACGCGTCATTATTATCTGTGCACAAAACAAAGTATTCGTATCATACCAGGTGGGGGAGGGAGCGTTGCCTGACGAGCCCAAACAACGGCTGCGAAGGAGACTATCGGCGGATGTGAGAGCCAAAATAATTAACTAAGTTAGGTAAAGTAAGTAAGAATTTATGCATTCTCGTAACTTCCCGCGATAACATACCTTGGCATGATATTTTTAATTTTGTTTAGCTCGTCGGATATGAGAGCCAAAATTAAGTTAGGATTTTTTTTGTTGTTTGGCAATTCGCATTTCAATGTTCTCACTGGTGTTTTTGACGTTACGAATTGTGTTTAACGTATTCTCAATGATGTTAGCTAAAGGTCGCTTTTGTTTTGTTGCTTCTGTATTGGATTCTTTTTTTTTCGAATTAAGTTTGTGTCAGTTCCAATTTGTATCAGGCGAACTAAGATTCTACTATTCGTGTTTCGAATTATGTTTTCTTTACAAATCGTGTTATGCGAACTTTCCATTATGATTTTGTAAATCAGGGTCCTCAGAGGACTCGACTGCTATGGTCTCAGGGGTCTGGTGCGAGTTCTAAATTAGGCGCTGCTCTTGCCAAGAGCGGTCCTCTCAATTTCTGGTCCAAAAAGGTTTTCTTTTATTTTTTGCCAATCGGAAAGTGGTTTAGGACGAATATTTCAATAACAGTTTCAGGTTGTTCTCCAATTCCTCTTCTTTGCGTCGTGCAAACGTGGCTAAAGTTAAGAACCTTTCACGTTTCACAGATGAGTGATAATAATCCCCTTAGTGACCGATCACACCTAACCTATATAACTGAGTCGAAAGTGAAACAACTAGTAAAGCGTAAGTAAAGCTTTTGGGTCTTTTTATCTCCAGTAATTTGACCTGGAACACCCATATTAATGAAATTGTTAAAAAAGCCTCTAAGAGATTATATTTCTTGATTCAACTTAAGAGAGCCAAGGTTGCTCAAACTGATCTAGGGCTCTTTTATTCTAGTTGTATTAGATCAATCATGGACTATGCAGTACCGGTTTTTCACTATAGTTTGCCTAAATATCTAATACGAGAATTAGAACACGTACAGAAGAGAGCAATTGTCCATTATCTGTCTTGGTCATAGCTCTGAGGCCCTGGATATTATGAAATTTAAAGAATTAGCCATCTATCACAACGAAATATGTGAGTCACTTTTCGACAAAATTGTAAATGATAACAATCACCGTCTTCAAATGTTAATACCAGCAGCTCATGAAACTACCTACTTGTTAAGGCGTGCGTGACCTTTTAATGTACAACGCTTCAAAACCAGTCGTTTTAAGAATAATTTTATTATTTCCTCATGCCTTAAAGCGAACTCACTTTAGCTTTCCTTTTTTTAGCCGATTGAACGCTTTTTAATAACTAAGTAGTTAATATCTAGATTAGTTTAATTTTACTATTTGTATTATGTGAGTAAATACGCAATTCAGTTTTTTAACTGCTATGTATTTATGAATATATAAATAAACTTCAAAACTTCAAAAAACTTTAAGTTTCCCGCCAGCTGCCTGCTGTGAACACGTCATTATTATCTGTGTACAGAACAAAGTATTCGTATCATATCCTAAGGATAGAATCCTCGAAAAATCACAGGCTCGGCTGAGGCTATAGTGACGTACCAAACTCGGTGTCCTTTGAAGAGGCTAAAAACAGACGAGAAATATAAGTGGCTAGAAGCTTGTTGCAAGAACGGCGAATGGTCAGTATTAATTATGTATATATACGCAAATTTATATTTTTGACATTTCTGATCAGGTAAATTTACGCAGAGGTCAACGAAGTTCTGTGAAGTGTAAGCTTAAGCTTTTAAGAGTTGTAACTCATTGGCCTAAAATGTAAAAGCTGACCCAGACTAAGCGATATGATTCTTAAGGATTCTTATTGAATCTTAACTCACTTTAACGGTACTTTACTCTCACATGTCCATCTTTTCCGGGAATCGTCTCAGCTATTCTGCGCAAAGACCATTGTCCTCGTGGCGTATCCGGAGATATTACCAGTAGTATATCACCAACTTTTAAGTCTTTGCTAGAGGTAAAAGTCTGTATCTGTTGGATTATGCCAAGCTTTGATCGACTTGAGCGCGCGAAACTGTCTAAAAGAGTTTCAGTTATGCTGTTTGGCAATGCAGCGTTTTAATGTTTTCACTGATGTTTTTGATGTTATGAGTTGTGTTTGACGTATTCTTAGTTATGTCAGCTAAACATCGCTGTTGTTTTGTTGCTCTTGTATTCGATTCTTTGTTTTTCGAATTAAGTTTGTGTTAGTTCCAATATGTGTTACGCGCCAATATGTGTTAACCGCCACCTGGTTAGCTCAATTGGGAGAGCGCCGGACTGCTGTGCGGGAGGTCGAGAGTTCAATACCGGCCGGACCAACACTCAGGGTCTTAAAATTAACTGAGAAGAATATGCTTCCTTTCTTTAACATCTAGAAATGGTTAGATATTCTAGTCTTCTCGGATAGGGACGAATAAATGGAGGTCCCGTCTCCTGCAGGGTTAGGGGCAGGAGACGTTAATTTCCCACGCACGAGATTACTGTGTGATGGATGTCCTCCCTTGGGGTGGGATGGGTGGGTTTCCACATTTGCATTTAAACGAGCTAAAAGCTCATATGCGATATGTGGTTAAATAAAATTACTTACTTACTTACTTACTTACGCGAACTAAGAATAAGTTATTCGCGTTTCGAATTATGTCGTTCCACATTGTGTTATGCGAACTTTTGATTCTGTTATGATTTTCTAAATCTGGGTCTTCAGAGGACTCAACCGCTATGGTCTCGGGGGTCTGATGCGAGTTTTAAATCAGGCGCTGCTCTCCCCCCTTGATTTCAAGTCGAGAAAAGTTTTCTTTTATTTTTTGCCGATCGGAAGTACGGTGGCCCATAGGGGACATGACACATTTTTTTTTATCGCGCGATAAAATAAAAGTATCACACGATTAATGAAAAATTATCGCGCGATAAATGGAGATTATCGCGCGATAAATGGAAATTATCGCGCGATAAATGGAAATTATCGCGCAATAAATGGAAATTATCGCGCGATAAATGGAAATTATCGCGCGATAATCTATCATTTATCGCTTGATAACTGGAAACTTGTCAGGTCACGTAATTGGCTGTCATGCATGTTGTTTCCGTGGACGACAATGACTGTCGTAGTTGAGGAGCTATGTTTTGAGGTCAATAGTTCGTTTTATTCATGTAAAAAGATCATCTAGCAGTACGTTGCAATACTACGACACATAATTCTGTGAATCAGTGTAGTAAACCTTGATTTTACGAAGTCCGAGCCCGTGGAAATTTTGTATTATGTATTTATATTTTGTGATAACTTTTCGATGATTGCATGACTTACAGTGTTGCGTTACACTAAAACCTTGAAATAAACTTAATTGTGTATTGTGAAGGGGTTTGTCCAGCTCGTAGAAGTTTCTGGTCTTGTCGGCCGGGATGAGGACTTTGGGCGAGCTGTTGATCTTTTTGATGTCTTCGTTTAGTTGGTTCTGGAACTTATCGGAGACTTTCCTGAATTTTATGTTATTCACCATGTTTAAGAGCTCGGCTTCGAAATTGACCATGTCTTCAATCTGTGGCGGGCATTTTCTAGAATTAAAGCCAAATTTATCGTAGAGGGGCCCTGCTATGCCCACAAACAAAACAACTTGTGAAGTAGCGATACACTTTAACAAAACCCCACACACCCTGGACGATTTTTCGTTCCAATGCATTGATCAGGTACAGGCCCCTAGTGGCTCTGAAGAGATCGATAGGCTTTTAATCACAAAAGAGGCTTATCGGAGTGCTCTGTTGTTCTCTTTGGCACCCCATGGTTTGAATAAAAGAAAGGAATTTCATTCGAAAATTAGAATTTGCTATAATTAATTTTCCATCTTATATTAGGCGCTACTAATTGATCGTTCAAAGGCCCTTTTCTTGGATTTTGTCGGCCCTTTAGGCGTGGATTGGGCTCAGAGGCCCTGCCAAGGGATATTATTGTGATTAGTATCATTTAAGGTGGCTCGTACCAGTTTCCTCGCGCGGGGAACAGGTCACTCTTGTGTGACGCGCGCGAGAGAAACGTGCGAAAGAAGCGCGAGATCAAAAGATGAAAATTCAAAACAAAGATGGCGGCGCGTGGAATTGTCTCTGCTTTTGTGAGAAGTTTACCTAAGAGCTTGTATTTCATGTGTTGAGCGGCTACTGTGAATGCAGAAGATAGAAATTAAGATAACGAAGACGATTTTCGGAGAAGTAAAGGTTGCTTCACTTCACATTTAAAAGAAATATTCAACCGATATGAAATCTTGCGACAGCGAAAAAAGAAGAACTCAAGTGAAGGATAATCTACCTGAAGTGAAAGAAGAATTTGAAACTTCAAGGAAAATAATATGATATAGCCAGAAGTCATGTGTAGGATTTTTAAGATGAGATCGGGAGGCTGTCTTTGACGGCTGTTTAATGATTTTCTTAGCAGTAAACGTCTGTAAACATCAG